TTCTGAAGAAGACTGATTTTCAACTGAATTGAGAGATTTGCCTGCCATCGAGGCTGTAGATATCAGCAACTAACTCGTCTTACACGCATACTTTGACTTTACAAAGTTCGGAAACTGGTACGTTACACAAACAGCCACATAAGTGTATTTAAACACCTGAATAATGTAATTATAAGGCACATAAATAAAGTATTAACTCACATTTGACGAAGTGATCACTGCAGTGCAGAGTGCACACACACACACACACAGGCATTTTCCCATTCGGCTCCTCCCGACCGCAGACGTAGGTTTGCAAGGCATTTTTCCTAGTGTTTTTCTGTCAATTTCTTGTATTTTCCCCCCTTATGAACAACAATTTTGGGCACACGATAAAAACTCCTCGTGGTTTGATCGATTTGAGCAACCATAAAAGACGCAAAACATAGGCATTTTGAGTGTGTTATAGTGCTTCCTAAATCTAGAAAATCACTTCCTGCCCTCCATCTGCATTTCGCGCCATGGCAACGCAGTTTTGCCATGCCATTTTATTTTGCTCAAGATAATGATTTATTACGTCCAAATGTGATGCAATACAGAAACGATGCCGTTCAAACGACACAACTTTGCGATGCTGTTTGCGAATGTTTGTTGGAACGATTGTTTCGGAAAACACCGACTCGTTGAACTATGCTAATAACGACGGAACTTGCGACCATAGTTGGCTAACGATGCTTTCGGGACACGCACCCCAGAGCGGTGAGAGGCGCTTGTCTAAACCATTTTAAAAAGTTGAATTTAATCAATTTTTATTTTCTATGGCAGGTCATACGTATGCCGAGCCACAGGAGAAGAAGTCCCAAATTGAATGAAAAAGGAAACGTGTCTGCAGAGTACAAAAAACAAGAGTAAATGTCAGGATGGCTTTCCAGGTGGAAAGAGCTAATGAAGGAGAAAGATTTCAAAAGAGACGCTGAAGTCCTGCTTTCTCCTCGACAGGTAGGTCAATGTTACAGTCTTAATCACAAGCATTTTTTCTTTGCTTGGTTGTATATTTTATAATATAGACAGTAGAACATTTATAGTGAAAAGTTAAACGGACTATTTTGATGAATAACGTTAGCAGCTATTGGGTAAAGTATAGAAGGCACTAAAAACAAGGTTTGTTATTTTACTTTCTGTTACCTAGAAATTCAATAAGAATATATTTTAATAGAGCATATGATTGTTCTTGCATTGTTTTAAAAAACAATGGTAAACGTTTGAAGAAATCAGACCAATCATAAAGGCTGTCACAATCATGTTTTTATTTTATCTGACAGATAGCCCACGGTATCATCGTCTTTAAAAAAAAATAGTTTTTCGTTTTAAAAAAAGCTGTTGCAGAAATATCTAGATATGTGTCATGAGATAATCGTGATGAAAATAAATAAATAAATACATTTAAAACAAAAAATTGGTCTCTCAATAGATTAAGCATTTATTATCCCCTTCATAAATTTTACATGCATTGGAAAATCAAAAACTTTCCAAACATCCTTGGAACCTGCTTTAGTACCTCCTGGTGAGGCAGAGATATCAACAATGACACAAACTATTTGCCAAAGGAACTAAAAGACTGAAATCAAAAGTTTCCATGGCAATGAAAGAGCAACCCTCAAATATTTCAAGATGTAGAACCTTCTTCAGTGATTCAACTCAATAAAAGCTTTAAAACTAGTTATCAGCAATACTGTAAAGAAACACACAAATGTCATGTTTCATGCCATATAAATAATATAAAGTTGACTATCAATAATTACCATGCAATCATTAAGTAAACAACCATTAAACATTCATTATAAAGTGTCTTTCTCAATAAAAATTTTATTTGGGAAAGAACATCTTTGGTTAGTGCTTTCCACACAATCTCTAATAAAATTACTGCTGAAAATGGGCATGATGTAATACGTAGCTTTCTGTAAATGGATGTTGGTTCGGTATGTCATTCTGAGCATGGTTCCACAAATGAGTGAGAAAAAAAAAACATTTCGAGAAGAGCAGAGAGGAGCCTTGATGTGTGAATTAGGGGGTAGAAACAGAGGTTGGGTGAGAAACAGAAGTGAGAAATCATATTACCCAAGGACACAAACTTTTCCAATTTACCTATGCCCTTCTTTGTCTGGACTCTTAACACCACAGATGCATCACCCATTACCGATCACCCTTGAGTAATGTCATTCATGACACCCTACTAATGAAGCCAGCTTTCAAGAGCCCATCGGACATAATTACCAGCCTACCTGTGCCCTTGGTGTACATGCAATGAAATCCATGGCCTAGTTTTGATATAAGAGAATATATGGAGAGCAAAACTGAAACATTACATCATAAAGCATGAAATCATAATCAGCTGTGGCACATTCCCTGGAGCAATACCATGTCTACCATCATAAATGTGCTCTTGCGATATTATCCATAAAATCTGATTTTATAAGCTAAATATCACTTCTGATTGTCTTTCATAGTTGAAGTGGTCATATCATATTTTTTACTCTTATTTTTTCCCCTGAAGACCATATATAATGTAATTTCTTTTATGCCAAAACATTAATAATTTAGGTTTTCATTGACAATTTCATTCCTTTTGCACCTTTAAAATTAAACAGTAAATTTTTTGTTGTTGTGACTCCAATTTAAATGCCCCGTTCACAGGTGAAATATTGCCAAATAGAGTTTGAATTGCTTTTGTGGCAAGACTGGTTTACCTGCTATTAATCAAACAATAGGATGAGAATTGTATTGGTTTTGTTGTTATGAGAGAAATGTATTATAATCACATCCTATAGTGACTTTTCAGAACATTTCTCGCTTGTTTGTGAAGATATGTGGATATTTCAAAGACATTCCAGGGCATATTGTTCTTCTAAACTGAACATTTACAGCATAAAAGGCAACTGAGCAAGAAATGCTTTGACCATTCAAAAAGATTGAAGTAGTCTATACGCACCTATAACCTGTCTGATTCTACTCGCCCCGCTGAGGGGTGCGTTTCCCGTACAACGACGTCGTTCGCTGATTCATTACCATAGTACGATGCATCGTTGGAAAAATCAACTAGCTAGTCACGACTGTTTCCCGAAATCCACTGTCGCAAAGTATCGTTCAACCACGTTGGTTTCGGACGTGGTGGAGTAATAACTACTCTGAATGAGATCCAATTAATGCTAGATTTGTTTTATCTAAATTACAGACATGTCACCTGAGGACTATTTCTAATTGTTCTCAGTTGTTTTGCTTTATTACCAGAATCAATATTTGGCTCGTTCTTAGAGCATGTTCGCACATGCACACTCTTCAAACACGGTACTTTAAATCTTTTGACAAACTAAAAGACGTAAATTCCATTTGTATGTATTCTAAATAAAAGACACCAATTGTACTGAATGTCAGCTTGCTTATTGTGCACAAGATAAGGATTTATTACCTCCAAATGTGATGCAATATAGAAACGTTGCCTCTAAACCACAGGTCGAGAGCTTGTCGTTCAAACCACACGACTTTGCGATGCTGTTTGCGAGTGTTCGTTGGAACGATGGTTTCGGGAAACACTGAATCGTTGAACTATGCTGATAATGACGGAACTTGCGACCATAGTTGGCTAACAATGCTTTCGGGAAACGCACCCCTGAGCAGGATTCAAACCAGCGCATGGAAGGGGCACCAGGGGCGGAGTGGCAATCGGGAGAGTCGGGAGTTTCCCCGGTGGGCCAGTAATGTTTTGAGGCTGCGAGGGCCGGTTTGATAAAACAGAACATGTTTGCACTAAGTGCCTGTCTTTTAAGAAAAAAGACGGCCAATACTTCACAGCTAAAGTGGCGTAGGTCGTAGCATTAGTGAGCTTTTGATGCGCTCGACACGAGTTTGAATCCGTCTTTTGCCGAAGTCTCTTCTCCCTTTTCCCAACACATATAAGATGTAAAATGTATAACCTAACATAAAGGTCTCTAGCATTATATTTTGCCAATGAACTAAAATTGAAACCATGATATGGCTTTTTGCCTTTCTAAAACAACACAAGACTTTAAGAATAGGCATCCTGTTTGTGCTAGGGTGATTTAAAGAAAAGTGTGCACTCTGCTTACGCGATCAGCATGGTCATCTGGTGTTTTCTCCTAAATACAAGTTCAAGGGTTTATTTCATGCAAGTGAAAAAATAAGGACAAAAGTATTTTAATTTTCCTATATTTTGGTGTAATGTAGACTAAAATATACTTTTGAAATATTTTCATTTATATACATTTATAGGCTATATGGATTTTACGTCATAGGAATAATAATATAAATCATTATTACATTATCATAATAATTGTTTGGCATCCTGAAACACCATTGATAATGTAATGTAGACTGAGACTCTATAATTAAAAAGATATTTGAACCCTCTTTATTGTCCTGGTACAAATCAATGCTTTTTCTTTGTTCAACGAGCAGTTCATGGGTTGAAGCTCTTAATTTTAAGCTCTAAAAGAGCATGAGATTGATGCATTTAACCTTGAAATGTACAAAATTTTCTTGCGGGGGAGCATGCCCCCGAACCCCCCTAGAGGAACCGTAAATCAGTAAAACTGTAAATGCTATATAAGGGTCCACCCAACATAATTTTACAAATTCATATGGGGGAAAACAAACATTTATGAACTTTACTCCAGCATAGTACAACAAAGTTCATTAAGTCAGTAAAACTGTAAATGCCATATTAAAGTTTTCAGTCAGAACACTTTTCACACATCAGGATTTGGAATCGCCGACAGGTCCAGATATTTAGCATGCCAAATATCTTTCGGCGTCGGCGACTCGTTGGCGATTCTCTCAGATCGCGTCTTTTCTCATTCACACTGCGTGATTGTCACTCGCGTGAACGAGCGCCGATTTGCCAGTGATTTCGGGCATTTGTCTGCGATTTCTCAACCTGTCGGCGAGCAAAAATCTTGGCTAAAATCATGCAGTCTGAACTCGGCATAAAAGGAAGAGATACTCACAGCTGGAGAAGATGAGTGGGCAGGAGTGCTCATCCATAGGAAAGTTATGCAGTTGCAGCTGGCATTCTGCGTTTATGGTCAATCTATGAAGAGAAGAAGCAACATACATTTACAATGCAAAAGAATATAAAGCACAATATAAAGCAGAAGGGCAAAAGAGACATGGCCATGGCATTTGCTGGAAGTGAAATAACTACATTTTACTTAAGCAAACAAAAAAGGAGCGTGATTCGTGACATTTTGTTACAGTATCAGCTGTTGTTCTCACGAGGGAAACTTATTTCACTTTCAATTTTCAGGATGAGAAATTTGCAGTTTGAAGAAGCTTGTTTGACAGACTCGGAAACAGGTTTAATTCTCTTTAATTCCCTGGCAGCCCAGCGAGTGACGCTCAGGTGAAATCACTGACGTTTGAAGCGTCTGTTGAATACATTAGTGTAGGATTTAAAGTTTTAATTATTATATCCCACAGGAAGAATATAATGAACCACAGCTGTGTGGACTGCTTGCTCATTAACCATATAGCATGAATAAGGATGACACTGTTAATCATATGACACAGAAATATTATTCTTCCCTGTCTTTGACATCTGTATATGGAGTCATTCTGTTACCTGTATTTTGGCGATAGTTAGCAATGCCAAGTTAACTCATTCTGGTAGATACTGTAACTAAACCATTTGGTAATAAAAATCTAAATCTAAGAAAGATATAAATTGCAAATATTTCATTATATTGTATTTGATGTTGTGCCTGTGCTCAATTATTTTTTGAGGGCTCATGTGAAATTATCTTATTTAGAATATTTTTCCGTGAGTGGCTGACGCTAGCCGATTCAAAAGCAGACTCAATCAGTATTGATATGACATTTCAAAAAGTTTTGTGGTCCCATTAAAAATGACGTCAGATTGTAGATATTGCGGTATTGCACATACTGTACACAAATAGTAGTTAAATAAAACAAAGAAAATAGACATGAGAACTTTTTTTTGTATTAATACATTTGCCTGACATAATAAATTGTTATATTTGATTATTCTAACAGACTTTATTTGCATTAGAGTTAAAAGGAATAGTCAAACATTCACGTATATTTAATGATGTACCGATATCATTGAAAAAAACGTTTCATTTATGGAGTCAGATGAAATAATATAAGATCGAGTTAATGCAAAAGATAAAATGTATTGCATTTAATTAAAAATCCCTTTGCTTTGAGAAAAGACAGAACACGTGTGAGACCTTTACCTCAAATCGAATACTGCCATTGGATCAAGTTCGGCAGCCTTATACCTCTGTCACCTTTTAATAAGAACTTCTGTAGATGTCTGACAGAAATAAAGTCAAACTGGTTAGTAATCAGTGAAGCTGGTAATGCTGTTTGTGGAGTTGTTTAATACTTCCCTGTTACGATGATCTTTTATCAGACATTAATGTATTTTTTTTTCCTATTTCCTTCAATGATTCTGCTTGTTAACAGGTGTTCAGCAGTGTCTGAATTAACTTTGAATAATTTCATTGTTAATTCAGTTAAATTTCACTCAGTCAAGTGGACTATATTAGTGAACTAATGTAGGGAATAGTGAATGAGGGTATAGGGTGTGATTTGGAACACAGACTTTGAGCGCTGTAAATTCACAGTACAGTATTATCCTGTAGGCTACTTTTTTCGAAAATGACAAATATCACCCAGAATGCATGTTTTCACCGGTATATTGCTGCTTTAATGGATAACAGCATGTTACTGTGAAAATGTGTTTTTTTTTTTTTTTTTTTTTTTTTACAGCAATAGTCTCTCCAGCTGGCTATTGTTACATGGATTGAGACACTAAATGTGTCTGTCCCTTATTCTGAAGTCTGAAAACAGTAATATGATAAATAAACATCAAGTAGATTATAGGTAAATTCCAACTCCTGCTAGAAAAATTGGTGGATATGAAATGAATAGACATGCAGACACACAGTGCTAAACAAAATCCCTTGCTTCAGTGGGTAACATAGAGCCAGTGAATAATTGGCTTACTGTTACAACCTTAGCCATCATGGTAAATATTACCATATTGGTTAACAAACGGCCCGACAGCACATATTAAGCATCATGGAGAGGTATGGCAAATCAAATTTCGCATTTCTCAGCTCAGACCTGAATCCGTGCCATTGAGCTCTGTGCGTCGCAGCTCAGAAAGCTTACAGCACTCACAAAATCTAGCATTGTTTACTTCAAAGCTCAGATGACTGCAATTAAAATAGAGAGTGACATTTCATAGTCGGCACTAGCCTTTTCTCTTAAATACCACTGCTGCATGTCTGCTGTGTCACTGAATATCGATCATGAGCTCCATATGGGAGCATCTAGTTAGCCTTTGTTCAAGATTGGCTTTATCCGCAGAATTTGCCCCTCAGCATCAGCGCTGTTTCTCCTGTTGCCAAGGAAATATTTCATGGAGCACTGGAGACGGCATGATGTAGTCTCCACTGGCCTGTGAAATGTCCTCTGGTCCAAATAGACACTGTGGTCTTCAGGCTGCTGAGAAATACCTGAATAGGCTGTCGCCCTGCCTGAGATACATTAACCAGGGAGCTGTTTTTCTAAAATACATCTCTACCGCTAAAAGAGCACAGTTTGTTCTGTGTTTGTATGTTGTTGTTTTAACTTTACCTTGATTAGTATTAGAGAATCTGAATGTTTAGCAAAGGTCTGGAAAGCTGAACTGCAGCTCGTCCATAAATGAACCGAAACTTGCCTCACAGATGTCAGAAATATATATATATACATACAGTAGCCTATATATTATATAATATATACGAAATGTTTACTGTGGGTCATTCATGTTCTGAATATTTTGCTTCACGGTAGCCTTCACTTAAAATCATTAGTCCAAGAATGTTGGATAATAAAATTTGCCACTGAATTAGTTTAGTCCGATTTATAGTTATAGGCCTGTGCACAACTGCGAACAGCACATGTTGTCCCTGAGCTCCGTAACGACATCTCTCATAAAGGTCTGCGACTTAGATTAAATAGTAAAACATTATCCGAAAAACATCTAGCCTCTTCGCTAAATAGCACACAATATGCTACGCTGCATGACTGGGAGTTGCACCCACTTTATTTTTTACAGTAGACATGAAATTGACATCAAATCAGCATATTAGAATGATATTTGAAGGATCATGTGACATGTGAAAATTAATTACTGGAATAAATGACATGTTAAAATACATTTAAAATTGTCTATCTGTTTTAAAAATCGTACCGACCGAAACTTTTGAATGATAGTGTAAATTTACTCAATATGAACTTCTTTGTAATTGATGCAGGCTAAAAAAGCAATATACAAGCATTCATGGTTTTGTACTGAATATCAGACTTGACACTCACTCTTGTGAAAGTGCTTCATTGTGCCAACTTTTTTTCAGTATATTTATTTGAACACATGGCCCTTTAAATCATGATTGTACCTAAGCAGACATGGTCTTGATATTGCAGTTGTTCTCATTGGGGTGAGCTTTTCTGATGGGACAGCTTGGAAAGGACATGACAAGCAATGTAGTGTGTGTGTGAATAACTAGGGCAGAGTCGGCTTCAGTGGAAACCCACTCATTTGGCTATATTTGGAAAACTGCAGCAGTAGTTTTAGACTTATGAAAAGACAATAGTAGACAAGTTTCATGTGACAGACCCACATTTTTCACATTTCCGATTATCTCTTCAAATCAAAGTTGGAATCGTCAACTTGACACTGCAATTCAAGCGAGAAAAATATTTTATGCATTTTGCAACTTGATGTTGTTAACTAGCAGCTTTGGGCTCTATCCGGCACTGGGATAATATTTCATTGCTGAAGAAAATCTGTGAACCATTTGCTTACATTCTCAACAGTGTTGGTTGCAAATGATGCTTTCTCATGTGCACCCCTAGTCTGCCGTGATGAAACATATGTATTTATAAAGAGAAGTGCCAGAGGCATATACTGTAATTCACATTATTGCTCTCATTAGTAATGTCTACAGTGGTGTTAGCACATTATCTATCTGGTAAAAATAAATAAAAATAAAATAATAATAATCATAATAATAAAAAATAAATTAGAAAAAGAGGAGAAAGAAAAATATTTAACATTAAAGGGATAGTTCCTGTCATTCATTTCTCACCCTCATGTTGTTCCAAACCCATAAGACTTTTGTTCATCTTTAAAGCAGCATTATGTTATTTTTTAAATTTTGCTCTCGGGGACCCCCTACAGTTGGGAAACAGTATTGTCTTCTACTACTGTCGTAAAATCTGTCATGGTTACACTAATACAGTGAATATGTGCATTTGTTGACAAGCGATCACCCCCGAACTCTGTAGAAGGAAGGACTTCTCACATTTTGGGCTGATTCCAGTGTTGCGTGTGAAATTTCTTCATCCCAGGTACATTAGCATATACAGTATTTCAGCATGTCTTATGAATATATGGGCTTTATTTTTTTCAAACGTCAAAAGATCGCGTAGCTCACATTTACAAGTCAGCGTCTTTATAGTAACGTTAACCTATTTGCAACTGTTTTACGTAATGGATATGCTAATTCAATGTTTGTGTGGTAGATAATAGCCATATCATGAATATTATAATATCAAGCTGCAATGAATCTGCAAATTAAAAAAATGGAAATGGGGGGGATGCTCGTTGGGCTCTCGCGTCAGAATTTGAGGAAGTGGGTCTTTCTTAATAGTCTTTCTTAAATGCACTTTTGTGACAGCTGCCATTTGAATCTAAAGAATTGTATTTAAGTCCACCACAAAATAGCAACAGAGCCTGTTGTGCAGTTCATCCACAGTGTGATTAACCCCTATAAAAGATTAACCAGAGGTCTGTGGTGCTGCCCATGCAGAGTATCCAATGGTTAGTTCACAAGCCCCATTGGCAGTGGACTGTTAAATAATATAACAGGCAGTTTCTGCTTCCTGGCCTAATTTTGGTCAAACCTAGCCAGGAATCTTATTGAATAGATCTGTCACAAATACAAGCACTGAACCAAACTTAGCTAGTTGGATATGAACAAACGACATCACATCTCAACATCACAAGTCACTGGAGCTCAAACTCAGGAAATGGGCTGATGTCACAGAGTTTAGAAACTAGAGGTTTGGTTGTTCTTTGGTCTCATATCCAGAGGTCTTTAATGTTCAGATCATAACACAGACATCTCAGACCCATCAAATGCAAATATTACTTATCAGGGCTGAACACTGTGTTTTGCTGTCTCAGAGAATCCTCTTTGTGCTTTTAATAGTGACTTCTGACTGGAAAGTGGCATAAATTTGTGACCATTGGTTCATCCCAGCTCTAAATCGTCAACTTGAAATCCCTAAATTCATCCCAGCTCTTGATATTTCATCAAGGACTGTGCAAGAGATGACCTAATCTGAAAAAGAAGCAGCTAAAATGTCAAAGTGACAGCCTGGGTAACTGATTAAAGGCATTACGCATCATGCTTACTGTAGGAAGACTGTAACAGGGATGTGTAAAAACTACAGGGAAATGACAAAAGGATGCAATGTCCACATTTTACTCAAAAGTCAAGTTATCCAATCAAAAATGAATGCGAAAGTGAAAATGATATTTTTTACATTTTATTTTTATAAAGTAGTCCATGTTTTGATATGACTCTTTTTTTTGTATGCTGTTTGCATTATTAGCATGTGTTAGCATCCAGTTAAATGTAGTAGCCTCCCTTAAAATTCACTAACTTGTCTCATCATACAATTAAAATATGATTTGTTGCAGTTTAAACACTTGACAAAATTCAAAATTAAATATCTTGACATTTCCTTCCAGCTATCTTGCCTGTTGGGTCTCCACACTCCATAAGCACAATTCTATTTTCTATTTTTTTTTCTATTCTATTTTTCCTTTTTTTGTCTTTTTTTTTTTAACAGATGCTGTCAGAAGAATTTGACCTGTATTAACCTGGAATGGTATTTTTAGGCCTATATAGACAAACATAAGTGAAATATGCATAATATGTGTACGTTTTACACCTAACAATTTCATAGGCATAAAAAGTGTAATTTTCAATATATGAAATCATAAAATTGTATTTATTTATTCATTTAATTTTATTTAGGCTATTTTATATATATAACCTAAAATATTTAGTTTCAATAGTACTGAGTAAACACAATTCACATAATGATGCTTAGGTATTATATAGCATTACTCATGTACTTTACCCCTTACTTCAAAAAAGTGCAAGACACATTAAATTAGAGCATTTACCCTGATCAACTGCCTACTTTATTATAACATCCTGTTTTTCTCTTTTATACCTTTCATACAGTGCTGTTATGACCTTGTCAAAATCTTGTGGGTTATTTAAAATCCACTTTTTTCATCTGATGGCCTTGTAGGGGTGATTCTCTTTGAACTGACACAGGAGACAGTAGGTTCTGTTCAGCAACATTTCACTATTTTGACTTTTTATCAAGCAATGGTGAAATGAAGTGGATGAAAAACATTTTCAATAAAGACATTTAAAATCAGCGACCCACTGTCCTTGATGTAGTGGTTCACATTATGAGTTTCATGTTTCAGAGTCAAGGAAATACTTCTTGACTTTTTATAATAATTGTGCACATTCTGTGTCCTCACTGCTCAAGTGCAATAATTATAGAAAGCAACTGATAAAATTGTATTTTCAAATTGACTTTTATATATTGATATATTTATGCCATAAACGACCTTGCAAACCAGCTAATCAACCATTTCTTGTCCCATTTATTGGATAGTTTTGGGAGTGAAAAGAAAAATCTTATTCTTACGCATATCTTGATTCATCTGTTTCATTATCAAATATAAGCTGGCTTACCTCAAAGTGTAAAGTATTTTCCCATCATTCCATATTCTAAGAAGCTGATTTGGTGTAGTAATCCAATGTGAATCTGCGCTCTTGGAATTTCTGAAGATCGTGTCCGGTAGCCAAATGAGTCCAACCATATTACTGTTCAAAGTCAATATTTTCATAGTGCTGTTATATCTGAGCCGGCTGTCCATCCATGTCTGTGCAAAAATTATGTCAATCTGGTACTCCTGTGGAAATAGAATAAAAAGGTCATGTTTCAAGAAAAATGAATGACATGTTGACTTAATATTAGTCTATATATTGAAGCTCTTACAGTGATCCCTTTTAAACCATAAATACATGTCGCTATTCTCGTTGATTGAATATTGAAAATTTAACCCGTTTTAATACAACCTGGCCTTAACGGTATTCTTTAGCACGCACTCTTAACACATTTCCACTGTGATTTCTTCCTAAACAGCTCTGATGAGTAAACGCAGAACCATACAGTAGCAATCTGAATTCCTAGAACCAGCCCTTAAATTAATGCCAGACTTATTCAGTGATGGAGCACCGCTGATCCCAATGTGGTTTGGATGGAAGACAGAGTCAGCTTTGAGATACTTTAACAAGGATTATGAGGTTCTGGCACTGTACAAGCTGGCAGTGGGAGCCACAGGAATTGAATGTGGGGAAAGACACATAATCACACCTCATGGTCCACAACTTTCAGGGATTTCTTAGGCTTTATAAACAATCCCATCAGTTGCGTAGACACCCGCAAAGGCTGCTGCATACTTGAGTACATGGTTAAATATTGCATCTGACCCATGCAACCTGTGAGGAAAAAGTGCTTAATCACATTTGTTAAAACCACAGGGTTTGAGCCATCAGATACTTCATGTATTTTTAGTAGTGTGTTTTGGGGGCAAGAGTTTACTGAGCAGGAAATGTAAAGGATGGATATTTTTAACACAGCTACAAGGGGCTAGACAACAACAATTAAAGAAAAACTGAATGAGGCCAGATATTTTTGAAAGCTTGACAGCTGTTTCATAAGTGCTCTTTGCCATTACAGTATGAATTAGCCTCCAAAAAGGGGTAATTTTGAAATCAGATCATACCATTAATACATTAATTATGGTACATTAAATCTTGTGGTAAAAATCCATGGAGTTTTTCTCGTTGTTGTGCTTTTTACAGTCAGAATGAAAGCTCTAAAATAGATAATAGGGTTAAACAGAGACTATTAGAGGACGTGCATTTAATCAGTACTAATGAATGTTATTTATTTGTAAATGTCTCACTGATATATATAACCCTATAACGCAGAATTTTTCAGAGCTTGAGTACAGAAGTTTGACGGGGTCTCTGAGGTGTAAGAGTCACTGCATCTGAAATGTTGCATAAATAGCTCAAAATCAATTTCCATTTCAAACACTTGCCACGATTAGAACTATTCTGTGGAAGCAGTCCAATCAAAATATGTGCCTACACGTCATTGTGTGTGTGAATGTGTGTTTGAAAAAGACCTCCTTTGGACGGATTTGAGGTAGGAAGACTAATGGCCTCATTATCTATTCCAGCTTTGATCTCTGAATAGAGCCTTATAAACATCCAGCTAATTTACTCCAGCCGTTTCAACCGACCAGTCTTTAAGTTCACTGACCCCACTAATGTCTACACAAACCTTCACACAAATCTGATCAATGTGACCTATGCTAACTCAGTAAATGCAAGATAGAAGGCTCTCAAGTGTCACGCATTGAGAGTGACAGTACCTACTTCCGGTCTTTAGTCACGCCCTTCCGCCACACATTGTATTTCTCACAGCGAAAAAAAAAATATTGATAGTTGTAATATATTTAATATGCCTGCAGCACCCAAAATATATCTGGCTGTGCCGCTCTCACTATGGAACCGACAAAAAAGCATATCCTGGAATTGTTCATTGTTCAGATGGGTAGGATTAGAGGTGGAGTTAGGGATCAGATTAAGCCATCTTTAGCCTCCTTGTTAGAGCGCCTGACTCTCATGCCGGACACCTGGGTTCGAGGCCCGCTTGGAGCGGGACGAGTAGGACCCGGGTGGAGGGGTTACACATGGATACATTAATCATTGCATATTTCTTTCGAAGATGTCAGGTAAAAAGCAATTAAGCACCCTCTCATCTGCAAGTCTGAGCAATGATTAATAACAACATAAACCAGTGTTGTGCACTCGAGACTCGGTCTCGAGACCATATTTTAATGGACTCGGTCTTGTCATGGACTCGTGTGCATTTTGACTCGGAATTGACTCGTACTCGAACATATTGGGAGTCGGGACCCGGACTTATTCCCGAGTCCACTCGAGTCCTATTCAAAATATGTCATGATAATTACTGTATGTTAATATTTCTTTAAATTGTTGTTTGGTTGAAACGTCCAATGATTGCTGACTTTCTTGTGCGCAACTGCGCATGACTTGAGACTATAACGTTCGCGGCACGCAAATGCAGCATGATGTGGAGCCTCTAGCTCAACTATGTATTGAAAATGTCTGCCTTATCATCCCTAATTCAGTTTGCATATAAGAGCCACACAGAATTTGTGTGCAGTAATGTTATGTGAAAGAGCACTTACTGATTGTAATAATTGTAAGTCATATTTATAATAAAATTACCTTTACACCACTATGTGGCCTTTTTACCATTAGCCTACAGTGAACATGATTCCATGGTATATTTGGTTTACTGTTTGAGTATGGTGCCAATTTTATTGTTACCACCAAATATTTTACATATTCTTGAAGATATCTTTAAGTCTGGTTTGAGCCCCAACCTTAGGTTATCTAACCTCTCTGGTCTCAACTCGGACTTGACCCTCTATGGTCTCGGTCTCGAGTGAGCTGGTCTCGACTACAACACTACCATAAACACTAATAATAATATTATTAATGACACACCCCCATTTCCACAACCTGCCAACCCCCTGTTCTCAGTAAAGCTGCTCTGGAACAGTATTTAATGGGAAAAGCGCTATGAAATAATAATTCTATTTGTGTATGTAATACAATATTGCTCTAATAGTTGGTAGAAAAAAAGATACACTTCCAACTTAATACACACTTAATAATTGTTTTGGTTTTAGGACTGTGACAGGGCAGCCAATTATTTTCTTTTGTTTTGACTTTTTTTTAATATATTTTATTATATGGCTTTTAAGACAGAAAAGTCGCACAGAAAAGTGGGGTTTATTTATTAAAGCATACATTACTGTATATTTTTCTATACACTTGTACAGGAAATATATGAGTGTACATTCCGTTATATTTTAGGATGAAGGAGATCATTAAATATAGGGGTCCTTGACATCAAATAAGTTTCTAATCTCTGTCTCAGTGGCACTTCCTCTTTTATTATGTCTCTAAACTGATTGCCCCCCTTCATAATTAATGGTGGTTATCACCCTCCAACCCCACATACCTGGGATGGCCTGACAGTCATTTGACCTTTTGCTATCTCTCCCCAAAGGTGGGTCTCTTTATTATAATACCAGTCTCATTTATCACAAGTCAGTGAGCATGAGAGAAGTCAGGCCATAATTGTGACCTTTTATTCCAGAAGCTAAAGGGAGTTCAGAGGTAGGCGGAAAAGAACATCACTTCAGGTCTAATCGCCATCCAAGTGAAAACGTGTTGAGTGTCCGAATAAACAGAACTAATCTGAGGTGATTCAATTACATCTGGACAAGAACAATGTGCAGACAACAGAGAGAGAGAGTCTGTTTGTTCAAAAAAGCCTAGAGTCAATCTGTTGACATTTTGTAATCCACAAAGTAAAATTAACTTTGTTTCTTTTCAACAGAAAGATTATGAATGATCCCATTATTCCCTAATAAAATGAGTGTAAACATTTTCTTGTTGTTTGAGAGTTCTAGACTGTCACAGTCTGTGTGCTGTGACAATCTGTTATATTAATTAGGTTTTTGGAGTGCTGCTTCAAAGCTGTGGGCAAGCATCAAACGCTGGGAAAAAAAGAGGGAAAAAAAGAATGTTTTACAGTATTGAGTGTGCACTCTAAGCTGATGCCGATGCGGGGGAGATTCAAAGATTCTTTACTGCAGTGATAAACAAGGGATTACATCGCCACAACATTAGTAAACAGGACACACACATTAAAAGTTTGCAAAGATGTTGTGTGCCCGTGCAAAATTCCCACGGCCTATGAAATAAATGGTGGAATGTGGCAACAAGTCTGTTTGTGTCCCACTGGATGTCCTTATCGCAAGGCAAGCCCTCGATAGGTCTCACATTTACTCAGCAAGGTTGGCATTATGTGAATTGAAATAATTTTGTTATTAACAGTCTGCCAAAGTTTGATTTCAGCAGACTTGTTTTTGTCTGGGTAATCCGTTGGGACTGCTGTGGGAAGGGTAATGTGTGGAGAATGCATATAAAATCAAGGTTCCTGCTTTGTGGTTCACTGCAATGGAAAGACTTATTTAATGAACAAGAAACAAAACAATTCATTTCCCCTTCCTTAGAGGTCCTGACCGACACATTTATGTCAGTGGTTGTATATCATCGGATTCATTAGCTGCTGGTTTCAATGTAGCTGCTGATTCAAAGCATAATAACCATTGTGTACAATTGCATTTTAGTAAGAACAACTACTATTGCTAAAGGTCTACGTTAGCCATGAACTAAATGTCAATGCAAATATGCACTTTCGAGCAGTAATTCACCCAGACATGAAAATTCTGCTATTATTTAGTCACCCTGATGTCATTCCAACAATACATGCTGCTATTTTCATTTTCAGTGGAACAACAGTAGAAACCTTTTTAATGATTTATGCCGTTTTTTGCCAAACAACGACAGTTCATAGTGACCACAGGGGTTTTTACAAAGCTTTTATGTTGTTTTTCTCAAGAATTGTTAATTTAAAACATGAAAACACAACATGTGTCTATTTATGTGTGTGTGGATGTGCTTGTTTATGTTTTATGGGGACAGATGTTTGTAATAGCAGTGTAAGACCCATGTCATTATTCAATGTAAAAGTGGTTTATGAGGAACTTTCCTGAGTCCTCATAATTAAAATGGCTTAAAAAAAACATACTAAACTTTTTTTTTTTTTTAATAAAAATGCAGAAAGTTTTCTGTGATAGGTAGGTTTAGGGGTAGGGGGATAGAATGTACAGTGTGTACAGTATAAAAATCATTACGCCTATATGGAATGTCCCCATAATAATAGGAATACCAG